TGTAACAATCATTGCCCTTTTTATTAATTCATATCAGGTCAACGTTGACCCCCACCAGCCAATAGGGGCCGCTACAATAACTGCAACGTTTCTAAAGAAGAACGGATCCTTGAATCGAATTTCAATAAATGGCGAGAGATTTGGCGGTCGTTCCGTTACAAATCCCAGGAAATAAGCTCGCGTATGTGCCGCCAGCAAATGTTGGGCACACACTGAGTGGGAAGCACGGCGGGGCAGGCTCGCGTCGTATGTTGCTCGAGCAGTGATGAAGCGTCGCGGGCGTCCGAGAGAAGCTCCATGACTCATGCTCCTCGGCACATCGGGAAGACAGAGAGGACGAGAGGTTGGGGAGAGAAACTTACATTCATCTTCCACCGTCTCGTGCTCTCCCATCCCCAACCAGCCCCCCCCCCCACCCCCAATCCACTCTCCCATCCCCAACCAGCCCCCCCCCCCTAACCCACTCTCCCATCCCCAACCAGCCCCCCCCCCCTAACCCACTCTCCCATCCCCAACCCCCAATCCACTCTCCCATCCCCAACCAGCCCCCCCCCCTAACCCACTCTCCCATCCCCAACCAGCCCCGGCCCCTAACCCACTCTCCCATCCCCACCCCCAATCCACTCTCCGATCCCCACCCAGCCCCCCCCCCTAACCCACTCTCCCATCCCCAACCCCCAATCCACTCTCCCATCCCCACCCAGCCCCCCACCCCCTAACCCACTCTCCCATCCCCAACCCCCAATCCACTCTCCCATCCCCACCCAGCCCCTCCTAACCCACTCTTCCATCCCCACCCAGCCCCCCTAACCCACTCTCCCATCCCCAACCCCCAATCCACTCTCCCATCCCCACCCAGCCCCCCCCCCCCTAACCCACTCTCCCATCCCCAACCCCCAATCCACTCTCCCATCCCCACCCAGCCCCCCCTAACCCACTCTCCCATCCCCACCCCCCAATCCACTCTCCCATCCCCACCCAGCTCTTCCCTAACCTACTCTCCCATCCCCACCCCCTAACCCACTCTCCCATCCCCACCCCCAATCCACTCTCCGATCCCCACCCAGCCCCCCCCCCTAACCCACTCTCCCATCCCCAACCCCCAATCCACTCTCCCATCCCCACCCAGCCCCCCACCCCCTAACCCACTCTCCCATCCCCAACCCCCAATCCACTCTCCCATCCCCACCCAGCCCCTCCTAACCCACTCTTCCATCCCCACCCAGCCCCCCTAACCCACTCTCCCAACCCCAACCCCCAATCCACTCTCCCATCCCCACCCAGCCCCCCCCCCTAACCCACTCTCCCATCCCCACCCAGCCCCCCCTAACCCACTCTCCCATCCCCACCCCCCAATCCACTCTCCCATCCCCACCCAGCTCTTCCCTAACCTACTCTCCCATCCCCACCCCCTAACCTACTCTCCCATCCCCACCCCCCAATCCACTCTCCCATCCCCACCCCCTAACCCACTCTCCCATCCCCACCCCCCAATCCACTCTCCCATCCCCACCCAGCTCCTCCCTAACCTACTCTCCCATCCCCACCCCCTAACCTACTCTCCCATCCCCACCCCCCAATCCACTCTCCCATCCCCACCCAGCTCCTCCCTAACCTACTCTCCCATCCCCACCCCCTAACCCACTCTCCCATCCCCAACCCCCAATCCACTCTCCCATCCCCACCCAGCCCCCCCTAACCCACTCTCCCATCCCCACCCCCCAATCCACTCTCTCATCCCCACCCAGCTCCTCCCTAACCTACTCTCCCATCCCCACCCCCTAACCTACTCTCCCATCCCCACCCCCCAATCCACTCTCCCATCCCCACCCAGCCCCCCCTAACCCACTCCCCCATCCCCACCCCCCGACCCACTCTCCCACCCCTACTGCTCTCAGCTGCTCGTTCCCCGATGGAATAAGAGTTAATGGCGCGGCCGAGAGTGCCGAGTCGGGTTTTGTGAGGTGGGGAGAAGCAGGGACGGGGACGGGGAGGGGGGGTCGGGGAGCGAGGGGGGGGTAGCGAGTTTGTGTTTAATGACGTGGAAATAAATCTCTCAATCTTGAGAGCGAAATTAGTTCTGCTGCTCGCGTCCCGAGTTTTGAAAAATTGTTTCGAGAGCCTTTGAGGCAGGCGGGGGGGCGGGGGTTGTTGGGATGGGGGGAGAGCAAAAAAAACAACAAAAATAAGTGGAACGTTGCGAGAGCCTCACCGGTCGGCGCAAGGCTACACCGAGTGGCGCATTGGTGAAGCGTGATGGCTGAGCGGTGTTCTACCATCGGTGGCGCGTGCGGTAAGGGCAGCGCCCCTCAACTGCTGCCAAAAGAAACCCCTCCCCAACCCTTGCCTCCCTAAAGCCCCCCTAACCCCCGCGTCCCTAAAGCCCCCACCCACCAACGCCTGCCTCCCTGAAGCGAGAACTCGAGAGAATTCCTCCCGAGCGAATCCTCTCGGCCTCCTCTTCCACCGTCCTACGACAAAGCATGCTTTGCTGCGTGTTCGTCTTCTGCGTTATCTACGCGGCGTGTAAGAGCTGTGGTGGTGGTGTGGGGAGGCAGGGAGGGAGGGAGGGAGATGGAGGGAGGGAGGCTCTTGAAGGTGATGGTATAGGGGGGTGGGGAATGAGAGATTGATGGACAGCATTTTAGGACAGATGGGTTGGGTGCACGGATTGTGCCGAGGTTTATAAATTGAATTCGGTTTCAATTTGGTGGCGCGCGAGATCCTCACACAAACACCTAAGCGATCCGTTTTGCAGCGTTTGTGAATTCCCCCACGCCCGATAATTTACAGAAGGGCAGTTTCTTTTTCCTCATCACAATAACTTGGGTCTTGCAAATGGGGCTGCACTTAAATGCAGCGTGCAGCAGTACTGTGTTGAAGGAATACTTAATGCAGAGAACGGCTGTCACCTTAGAGACACTTACCGGGCAAGATGGTAAGGACATGGCAGTATAGCAATGGATTCTTGAATGTCTCTGCATGGAGCTTTGATAATAACCCCTTCATATCCATGATGAATTTTCTCCAGATTCCCAAATTTCTTCCCACATGAAGCCAAACGCTCATTAACCCTTCCCCGTTCCGATGACGTGTGTGTACGTCGTAAGTTTTTCTTCAGTTAACGAAAAATACTTAAAATAAAATAACTTGATGGGTACCGAGGCTCCCACAAGGCCGTGCGGGAAGGCGTGTGGCACAGTTGGGCACCAGCTTCGTAGAGTGTGGTCGCATAGCTACAGTTCTCTGCGGTGAGTAGAAGGTCTTAAAAATAGCGGCGCTACGCCTCTCCAAATAAAATTTACGCTGAACCGCTTACGTGTTACCGAGATTCAGCGGCGAATAGGACCCACCCTGCAACTTGCAGATGTCTAGGAACGTAAAAGGGTTAATAAATTTGTCTAAACATTCCAATGCAGGAACCTGCTGAAAAATGTGTCAAGCCTCAGTGAGGCTCTCCTGGATAAATAAAGACGGGTAAACTTAGGGCATTATTTAATTACCAAATCACCTGGATTGTGCCCAATATAGCCGGCTCTTGGAAGTCAAGTTGAAGCCTGGATCGCGTGTTGTTGGGCGACCACCATGCACAGATCAGGAGTCGCAGGCTGTTGCGGGGATACGTTGTCTGCAGCGTGCAGTTCAGGAAATGTTCAAAATTGTGCTTCACTGTGCTCCAACATGGACACTCGCCGCCTTCACTCAAAATTACCAGCGTAGTAAAGTATCGTCAGATAACCCCCAAAATGCACGTGGCATGTGGAGGCCCCTGATCCAGCGGTGAGATTGACAAAGGGCAGTAAATGCCCATGCATCGATGCGTTGCTAGTTAATGTGATGGATGATACATTTATGAATAACTAAATGAATGAGAAACCAATGAAATATTTGGCTGTGAGGCAGCCTGGGCCCTCAGCAGCTTACCAATGAAGAGGGCTGTCCCTGGCTTGTGGAATTGACACTGTAAAACACTCTGGATGGACATAGCCAAACCTCCACAGCACAGGACCTGATCGGTGAAAAAACACTCGGGTGATGCTTTTCTGGGTAAAAAAAAAAATGTCACTCTTAGGATTTCACTGGTCTGTAAAGATCCACTGCTGGATGAAAGCCTTGCCATGCTCACCCATTATGCATATGTGGCAACCTTACACACGCCCTTTTAAATGAGGCTATCAAACGTTTCGGTTTAACTGGGACAGCACCCGTGTTTTCAGAAGCCTGCCCGGGCCGTTGCGAAAGATTTGTGAAAATCAGGATTTGGTTCCCAATCTCTGGCCTCTTACTGAACTCATGATGCGGGCAAAGGGCAGAGCTACCCTGAGTAGGGGGCGGGGCAACCTGATCAGTGGGCGGGGCGACTCGAGAAGTGGGTGGAGCTACATGAGCAGTGGGTGGGGCCTATGAGCAGTCGGTAGGGCCCAGATCAGGAGGAGCAAGGCAATTCGCTGTGAGTAGTGATAGTGGTTGGGTAGGCGTGGCTAAGTAAATGTGGGCAGGTCTCGGCGGAGGCAGGGCCGCGAGATCGTGAATGGCATCGCGGTGGCAAAATGTTAACTACCTCGCCTGGTATACAGGAGGTCGTAGGTTCAATCACGACCCTGACGCCTGGATATTTGCAGTTTGCATGTTCTCCCCGTGGTCGCGTGGATTTTTCTCGGGTCCTCCGGTTTTTCCCTCCACATTTAGAAACAACACATTTAGATTGTTTTACTGCTCTAAATTTCCACTTAATAATCCGCTTTATTGAGCTATCATATGTGGCCACGTTAACTACAGAAAAATATCTGCAAAGCTCAGTGGGCCTTACCTGGTAAAGTAAAAAAAAAAGATTACAATTGAAATAGTCTAGTGTTAATGTATCCCCGTCGGTAGATCGATTCCTTTCGGAGCCACCTCCCGCAGCTCCTTTGAGGTGGCACCGTCGGAGGGGGACGAGGGGGGGGGGGGGCAGGGAACCATCGGAGGGGGGGGGGGCGAGGGGGGGGGGCCGCTCTCACCTGACTCTGAGCACGGTGAAGGATCCGTCCTTCATGCCGAGCGCCAGCTGCGTACCGTCAGGGCTGAACGCCGCCGACCTCACCGCCTCCTCCATGTTGCAGCGAGCGATGAGCGCATGATCGGCCAGGCTCCATAGCCTGGGTGGGTGGGGGGGGTTATAGGGAGGCCACCGTGTGATGGTTGCCGTCATCGTCGTCTTCGTCGTAATCATTGCAGTTGTCGCTTTCGTCATGGTTAGCAGCAGCAGCTGCAGCACCGTCTTCATCAAGAGAAGCGCCTTTTGGCGTCATCTGGTCCAACCCATATGAGACTAGGCTCGAAGGAAAGCTGTCTCGGGTGTGGACCAATCAACTTCAAGGACAGTGCACATTATCAGAGTTATGTTCTTTTGTTTGTATTATGACTGCAGGTATTGCGGTCTATGCAAACATGACTCCTTGCAAAAAGGTGTCAGTTTTGTTGCCAGATAGAAGGGTAAAGAACCAATTATCATATTTTTACTGGCAAATGAGGTCCCCATAGAGAAGAGAAGCCTCGTCAGTGTCAGCATCGTCCAATGACGTTGAGGTTACCGTTCTCATTCATGACATCACCACAGTGCTGGATTTAGACAAAGCTACAGATTATGGCCTCACGTTAAGAGGGGGCCTCTAAATACGAAAATAATACAAAGTGTAAAGTTTTGCGTAATCGGTGTCGCACCTGCTCCCCATGATTGCGTGGATTTTTATCTGGATCCTCCGGTTTTTCCCTCCATATTTATACAAATAAATTAAATAATTAACCGTTAGTATTTTGCCGCTATGAGTGTCCACGTGATAAGCCATTTAGTTGAGATTTCATTTGTGGCCAGGTTATTTAAAAAAAAAAGAGTTCAGCAGGCCTTACCTAGCAAAATAAAAATGGTTTCAGTTTCAACAAAACATGCAATTACAAAGCTTTCATATTTATATTTCCATTGCCCTTTCTGTTCCAATAATACACATTTAGAAAAAAAAATACGACAGAACCTCTTAAGCTTGACATAGCTTAGGGCCCCAGCATGTCATAATCCGGCTCTGCATCACCAGTCAAACTCCTTGCTTGATTCGTTTACGGAGAGCGGAGTGGGCTAGAGGCTGGTGAGGAAGCGAGGGGGGGGGGGGGGTCCAGGGGGGGGGGGTGAGGAGCGCGGGGGGTGTGGGGAGAGAAGGGGGGGGGTGTCCGTGCCTGACGGAACGGTCGTCACTGCCCGTGACGGCGAGCGGCTTGGCAGGGTGCACGGCGAGTGCCCAGAGCTCCCCCTCGCAGTGGCCCTGCATGACGAGCAGCGGCGAGTCGCGCTCGCGCACCGCCACCTCCAGGATCTCGCTGTCCTGCGTGCCCACGGCGATGCGGTCGCTCCTCCAGCACACGCTGCGTACGGAGAGCCCTGGGGGGGGGAGGGGGGGGGGCCGGGAGGGGCGGGGGTTGCAGGTTGGTGGGGGGGGTAAGGATGCGGGAGGATTGTAAATTTGGATGGGGAAGATGATGATGATGATGATCGAGGGAGACGATGTGGGAATGGGAGAGGTGGAGAGACAGGCCTGGGTGGGTGGGGGGTATATGGGTGGAGGGGTGGCAGGAGAGGGTGAGGAAGCGGGAGGTTTGGATGGGTGGGGGAGGGAGATGATGATGATGATCGCGGGAGACAATGGGGAAATGAGGTGGAGAGTCCCGGAGTTGTTACGGGAAGATGGGAGGGGACGGGCAGACGATGGGCGACGTGGAGGTGGGGGGGGGAGACGAAGAGACGGGAAGATTCGGGAGATGGCAGGGAGATGGATATACGTGGGAGATCATGAGATGGGGAGGTCGGGATAAGAAGAGCGATGGGGAGACAGACAGCCGTGGAGATCAGGAGACAGAAAGGTAGAGGGACAGGGAGACAGGAATACACGGAGACACGGAGACAGCGCGATTTGGGAGCATCTAATATAGCGTGCTGTTGAGCACATGATCTGTATGCAGCATTTGACCCGAGGTTCGCTCACAGACACACACACATACAACCACGAACACACATAGGACGTTGTAAAGCGCGTCGGTTTGGTGATTGCAAGGCCCCGTACCCCCTTGAGACGCCACTGTTAAAGAAGCCTCGATACGGGCAAGAAAGTTCAGGGGCAAGAGTTTCAGGCACAAGGGGGGGGAGGGGGGAAGATGCCAACGCACTCATTGAGCAACGCTTCTGGAAAGTCCTTACGCGGGGGGAAGAGACACGGGGACGGGAACCACGAAAGTTTCTAAGTGAAAACGGGGGGGGCGGGGGGGTGGCACAATTCAAAGGAGCAACACGCCCTCCGTTAGGAGACGCTCTAATCCGATCAGACGCGCGCGCGGAATCGAGTCGAGCATTGCTGCTGCGGGAGCCGTACGGCCTCGTGTTTTTTTTATTGCAACCCCCCCACCCCCACCAATCGAGGCGATCGAGTGGCAGCAAGAGGCGGGCAAAGCACAACGGTGCCGCTACGCGAGGCCGGCATAAATGAGCCGGCGAGCGCGGAGAAAGTGAAGCTGTGACGGGAGACGCGGCGGAGGAGGAGACGGCCACGTGCCGGGCAGGCGCCCCGCTGAGACGCTGCATTCAAATCCGAGCGGCAGTCGCCTTTGATTAAACGGGGTTCCCAAGTGTAGCGAGTCGGTCGCCTCAGCCACAGCACCAATGACTTGCATAGAGACCCGTGGACGTAGAGACTCATAGACATGCATAGAGAGCCGTAGACTTAGAGACCCGTATCGGCATGCATAGAGATCCATGGAGTTGCATGGAGACACCACCTTCCATGCAGACTAACGGAGATTGATCGACTTGCATGAACACCCGTATACTCACATTGGCACCAATGGATTGAGTTGCGGTAAAATTCACCTTTCCATATGCAAAGAGCTTAGATTATTTATCTGTTATAAATTGTCACGTGATAAGCCACTCTTCGTCGAGCTGTCATTTGTGGCCAAGTCGCTTCTGAAAAAGATATAGATATAGCTTAGTGGGCCTTACCTGGTCAAAAAAAAAAATAATTAAGTTTATAGTTTAGTTTAATCTCAGAAGCATTTGTTCAACATCAAAAGACTCTGCACCAGTTTCGACACGCAGTGTCTCATCAGGAGTCAGGCTTGCTGCAACCAATGCTGACGAACTTCCAATTGTTTATAGGCAATGACGCGGTCTCCGATAGATATTGCGACCGAGTTCGTTGAAAATATCCGTAACACTTCACGCTATGTTCTCCACAGCGACGCGTTTGCGGTTTTTTATATCGGTATATATCATTGTCTTATAATGAATATCGTAAAATCAGAGCATCGATATGGAATTAAAACACATTTCTCCTCGATGTTGTTAAAAGCCCTCCTAATTTTTTTTCTTCCACCTCCAACTCAGCTTATATATAAGCTCCTAGCTTGGCAGTGTCTCATTCTTCACCTGAAGACGTCTGCTTGCGTTGTAGCCGAAACGTCGTGAGAATTAATTGATTTTATTATGTTTTATTTTTATTATTTTATTACTTCCCTTCTACGTGACTTTACCGAAAGAACCAAGAAGAGCCCTCCTCAATCTTAAAAAAACCTTGTGGGGTCCATGCTAGCTGTCCCTGGTTCAGAGTCACCCTGCGTCACACCGTGGGCGAGCGAACGGCAGACGCACGGAACGCAGGACCCACGGGGGGGGGGGGGGCAGGGGGGTTGGGATGCGAGGAGGTTGGGGTGGAGCAGGGAAGGAGAGGAAGAGGAGGACGTGGGAGCCGGATGATGAGGAGAGAGAGGAGGAGAATGATGAGAGGGAGGGATGGGAGGAGGAGCAGATAGAGGGGAGGAGGGTGGAGGAGAGAGGGAGGGAGGGAGTGAAGGAGCAGCAGGAGCAGCAGGAGCAGGAGGAGAGGAGGGAGAGAAGAGGCTGTCTCCACGGACTATCGGTTGTGCTTTAGCGCGTGGGGAGAGCGGATCTGTGAAAAAAAAAATTACTATAATAAATGAACGTCACCAGACAGTAGGTGTTGCTAAAAATAGACGAGGATTTAGCGTCTCGTGTGCACCGCATTCGTCATTGTAATGGCTTTCTGTTGTGTGCGCAAATATTCTAATTCTTCATCTTTGTTTAAGGGCATGGGCTTCTCGTTTCACCGTAAACAAACAGAACAAAGTGCCCCATTAAATGGGTGCGGCCCAAAAAAAAAAACCAGCCCTCGTGCGCAGTGCTTCTACATCGGCAGAAAGTATCTCTCATGATGAGAGCAAATCATATGCACGGCAATTCGTCAATCGATGATGCTTGTACGCTGCATTGCTCGCAGAAGTGCTACGCTGGACGAAACGACAAAGGGATGACTCATGCGATGATTTTAACTTTGTAATCGCTGAACGAGACAAGGCCATCTACTCACGACTTAACGCGTTCGCCAATTAGCAACTGACATTAAACTAAATTTTGATTTAAAGTTTTCGTGACTGCAGGGATTCATATTATTGGTTCTTTCGGTAAAGTCACGTAGAAGGGAAATAATAAAATAATATAAAAAAAATTATCACGACGTTTCGACTGCAACATAAGCAATCATCATCAGGTGTGAAATCCAGATCAAGAAAATTTTGGCTGGGATGCGAGGAGGTTGCTGTGTATTTCACATCTGATGATGATTGCTTGTGTGGCAGTCAAAACGTCGTGAGCTTTTTTTAATATTTAGATTATTTTATTATTTCCCTTCTACGTGACTTTACCGAAAGAACCAAGAATATGAAATTAAACTTTTTTTTTATTTTACCAGGTAAGGCCCATTGATTAGCAACGGTTGGCTACGTACAGTGCGAAAAAAGTTCAACATACGTACGTTCATACAAATGATAGCTCAACGAAGTGGCTTATCATGTGGACATTTATAGCAGCCAAATACTCTAAACGCATGCTTCTAAATGCGGAGGGAAACATCGGATGACCCGGAGAAAAATCCACACGACGACGGGAAGAGAGAGACACGCAAACTCCAAACATACAGCAGCAGGCGTCAGGGTCGGGATCAAATCCACGATCTCCTGCATACCAGGCGAGGTAGTTAACATCTCGCTACGGCGCCGCCCATTACATTGTTTACATTCTCATAGCTGAGATTTACTTGAAGGGAAAAAAAAGAGAAAAATCGTATTACGACTTATTATTTGCGCAGACATTGGTAACCAGGTTGAAACCATGAACACGCTACATTTGCGAAGCCGGTTTAGTGTCGAGTGACCTGGGGTGCACCAGAAATGACGAAATGGAAAACAAATTAATTCAAGTACAGCGGATGAAGCAAACAGCAATCAGTACAAAAAAACCACGGTGTCACGTGAGCGATTGTAAAGATTGTGCAAACATCGCTCGATGTTAAATAAACAAATCCCCTGGGGCAGATTGCTTTTAGACGGATCGTCGACACAACTACAAGTTTGCGTTCAAGAGAAACACCGAGAGCATATCGGGCCGACTGCCGTTGCTCAAAGTAAGAACGCGAACGGAAGAGGGTGGCAATCACAATGTGCGTGAGCCTTCAACGCGGTGACGACCCGCGGCGTTCATCGATGCCGGCCACATCGAGAGGGTTGCCGCGCCGCGTGTCGGAGTGCTCGCACGGCGACGAGAGCCGTGAGCGAACGAGAGCAGCAACAACAACAACAGCGGCAACAACAACAGCAGCAGCAGCGACAACAACAAAAAAATCGCCTTCGTTTAGCGGCGCGCGGCTTTTAAAGTCCATCGGCTTGAATCGCACGCAGGATCAAGACGGACACGCGCGCGTACGTTGCTAGCTCGCGCGAGAGAGACAGGAACACACACATCCAGCCACTATTCCAGTTAGAGGCGTCAATTCTGCCATTAGTATCGATCCTGAAGCTAACAATACACGCGTGTGATCGCGTGCCTAACAATCGATGAGAGCGAGGGAGGGAGGGAAGGAGGGAGGGAGTTTTCGAGTCCTATGTGTTGTATGTGATGGGTTCACGCGACGTTAATCCCTGCAGGAGCCAGAGGTCGCTGCGTTGACCGCGCGAGCGAGCGATGCAAAGAGGTAGAAGAGGAATGGTAACGGAATAAACAACGCAAACACACGGGGGACGGGCAGCCGGAGGCCGGAAGACATCGACGGACCACGACGGACGAGACGTCTCGTGGAGGCTGTCGGCGGCGTTGGTTCGAGAGCTACTAGCTCGTTCGGACACGGAGAGGGCAGTGGTGGGAGGACGGGGGTGGTGGGGGTGGTAAGGGTGGTGGGGGGTGGTGGGGGGAGTTGGGGGGGGTGGTGGGGGTGGTGGGGGGTGGGCGGAGTGGTGGAGGGGGGTGGTTGGGGGGGTGGTGGAGGTGTTGGGGGTGGTGAGGGGGTGGTGGGAGGGTGATGGGGGGTTGGGGGGATGGGGGTGGGGGGGGTGGTTGGAGGGGGTGGTGGAGGTGTTGGGGTAGTGAGGGTGGTGGTGAGGGCGGTGGTGGGGGGGGTGGTGGGGGTGGTGGTGGGGGGTGGTGGGGGGGTGGTGGTGGGGTGGTGTTGGTGCAGGGAGTGGTTGGGGGGAGTGGTGGTGGGGTGGTGGGGTGGTGGGGGGGTGGTGGGGGTGGTGGGGGTGGTGGGGGGGTGTTGAGGCGGCGGCGGGGGTCCCAAAGCGATAGAATGCAGGAAAAACATAACATTTCATACGCCAATTTTTTTTATACGTTGCTATTTACGGAGCAGTGGTAATTTATTTTAATTAGGCCGAATACTAAGACGTGTCGCCAGATACGATGTTTAACCGTGACACGGCAGGCGGAGACTGTATTTTTAAAACCGAGCGAGGCTCCAAACTTTCTTAATTGGAAACAAACGCGGGAGGGGAGGGAGGGAGGGAGTTGGGGGAAAGAAAAATAATAACGAGCGAACTGCATAATCGTCGATGAACATTTGACGGTGCGGTCCGTGCGAGACGAACACCGTGACAAAGACAAACGAGCCCCGAGAGGAGATGCCACTTTAAACATCTGAAGCCGGAGCGATGTTTTTGTTTTGTTTGTCTCGCCACGTAATTGTAATAATACAAAAAAATCTATAAATTATTTTTGTTGCGTGCCAACGCACGACTTTTCGTCATCGATCGCTTCAAACAATTTCAAATCGTCGCGCGCCGCTGCATCACCGCCGAACATCGCCTCGCCCAAGGTCATGGGGTCAAAGAAGTTGAAGTTGCTCGACACTAGGGCCCGTGAACGATGCTCCCAAGCTGTGATTCAACAAACGTTCAAACTGGCCCTGCATTCGTGACTCGCGCGTCGAATCGCTCACTTTTAATCGGGTGGCAGTCGCCGGCTTTGCAAACCCATGCAGGACAGGGAGGGGAGCAGTGTCAGGTCATCCTCGTAGCAAAAGTAGCTACACACGCTACGGGCCCCGAACTTTCAAGGGTCCCGCGCTAAATGCTTTCAAGTTATCAATTCCGGGTCAGTGATTCTGCACTTGCTCTATTACTATAGTGCTACACTGCCTTCAACTTTTATGAACGATGGGATGTTTAAGGTTAGCGATTTGTCGTATTTATCTGGCTGTATAGCAAATAAAAAAATACAATGACTTTACTATGCAAGTGAAAAAATTGTGTTTTAATAATTTATGTTTTTTTTTTTAATTTAGGGCCCCTTTATAACATATGCTACAAGCCCCGCACTAGCTTAGTCCGGCACTGTGTGGGAGCACATACAAACTCTACAGGGAAAGGGAGCCCTCGTCGGGAATCGAACCCATGCATTTGCAACGTGTACTATCCTTCGCACCTCTGAGAAGCACGGTTGGCTATGGACGGTGCGACAGAAGCTCAAGGTCAACACACGCGAATTGGTTGTTTTACGGTTGATGCAAGTGATATGTAATCCTTACGTTACGGCTAGTGGAGCGAACAAAACGGTAAAAATGAGGCAGAATAAATCATAATAATCTTTATTGATACGCCTTTCATACCGCAAGGCACTACACGCAAGTTAAGATAACCTAACACTAAACTCTTTATATATATATTTTTTACCAGGTAAGGCTCACTGAGCTCGTTTTCAGAAGCGACATGGCCACAAATTACAGCCCAACAAAGTGGCTGATCACGTGGACATGTGTAGCAGCCAAAAACTCTTCCACACACGTTTCTCAATGTGCATGGAAAAACCCAGAGGACCCGGATAAAAAAAATCCACGCGACCACTGGGAGAGAGAGACCACGCAAACTCCAACTATACAGGCGTCGGGGTCAGGATCTGAAGCCACGACCTCCTGTGCATACCTGGCGAGGCAGTCACCGTCTAGCCACCGTGGCGCCGCTAAGACGAAACAAACGCTCGAGGCGACAAGCCACGTGGCGCGCTTGCTGCTGGGGGGGTATAAACGGCGGGGGGGGGGGGAGCCCAGAGCGTGGGCGAGATTGTTGGCGACGGGAGAGGCACTCGCGAGAGAGAGAGAGACAACGCGCCAGACGACGATTGGAAGCGGTGAACACGGCACGGAGAAGCATCGATTCTAGAAGAGAATCATCGGTGTTTTAACGAGAATATTCTCTGGTTCTTTTGGTAAAGTAGATAGAAAAAAGAATAAGAGAGCACGAAGTTTCGGTCGCAACACAAGCGTCCGTCGTCAGGTGACTTTACCGAAAGAACCAAAGAGTATGGATTTCTGCAGGCACGAAATCTTCAAATCAAGTTTGACGAGAATAGTTTACACAGGGTGGATGAACCTGCAGCAGGAGTGGGGGGCGGGGGGGACTCAGTCCGGTTTAGCCCCCCACCCCCCACCACCCGACTCGACTGGAGTCCCTTGAAAAGTGACTTATTAGCTTTTCAAAAGTTCTCACGGTACAAAGCCTCTGTCTGCTTGCGTCTGTCTGTCTCTCTGTCTGTCTGCGGTGTGTCAATGTGCGTGTGTGTGCGTGTGCCTCTCTGCATGTCAGCCTGTCTCCACGTCAGTCTGTGTGTATTTGTCGCTCCGTGCGTGCCCGTTACCTTTGTAGCCCTGGTCGCTCTCGGCCAGGTCGATGGTCGTGATCGGCTTGAAGTCGGTGTCCCAGAGCCTCACGCAGCCGTCGCGTCCTCCGCTGGCGAATCCCTCTTCGCACGCGTACAAGCTGAAGATCGCCGACTGTGCAACGCGCGGACACACGGGTACGGCGATAGCCTATTATCACGACCACTAAGCACGCTGATACACCCACGGCAAGCTTCTAATGCTTTGTTCGGGATGGGGTTCTGCCACGTTTTGGCAGTAAGTGCCTGTTAGGCAGGTGGGGGGTGGTGGTGGGGCGTTCTCGCCATGTACAATCCCAATGGAGATATTTGCAGGTACATTTTATTACACGCTGGTAATATATTTTCGTCGCTATCGACGCCATCGGGTTGAATCTTGACTGAAAGCTTTCGTGACTGCTGGAATTCATATTCTTTGGGTCTTTCGGTAAAGTCACGTAGATTGGTTCATAGAAAATAACAAAAACTACGACGTTTCGATCACAACACAAAGAATAGCCATCAGGTTGAGCGCGTCAAGTTGTGTTGTGTTATCGTTGTCGTCATCTGGGGGTGACGACAACATCCACCTTGACGATTGCTGGTGTTCACCAGATTTTCGAATATTCCTCCTTTTCATTCGACATTTGGTTGTTATTCGTGTTGTTGTTCGCACAGCTGGCGATAGCGATGCAGCCCCAGAGTACGATGAGCGACACACGCATTACGTGCAGGGCAAACAAAACAAATAAACAAAAACATTGATGGAGAAAATTAACGGCACGTAATTTTTTTATGGAGATTTAAAAAGAAACATGTTTTCGCACCCGCATGACAAAGAAAATGTGCACGAAGAATTATTTTTCAAAATCCACAATTCCGCTGCACCGTGAGAAAACGTGGTCTCAGCTCAGCCACACCAATGACAACAGCCGTAGATAAAGTAAAAAACAAAAAATACATTTTAATACCACCGTATGAAAAAATGTAACGTAACAATGCGTGGATTAATCGGCTGAATTCCAATTCTTACGCTCGAGATGCACGTGTGGAATCGTGCGCATTAGACTCAATTATTTACGTTAATTAAAATTAAATGCAAATTATGCGCGTGCATTATAGGGGTAATGGCGTTCGCAAAATTGTACAAACGAGATAAAGTACGAGATGAATATGCGATATCACATTCTCGCAGCGGCTTTTGGCGAGCCACGGGAAGACGGTCACTGCATCGCCCGTTTTCAGATGCGCTTGTGCGGCCGTCTGGAACGCTCTTCCTTCCCATGTTAGGAAGCCACTTGGAGCTATGCACTTATAAACAAACCTAGTTTGAAAACTCGTTTATTGAGAACTGATTCATGTGTTTAGATTGTTTCCTTCCTCGCACCTCCGATTAGCACAGTTGGCTGTGTACGGTGCAAACGAAGTTCAACATACATTTTCAGGGAATATGAAAATGCATGCACCCACGTATGCCGTAGGATAGACCTGTGTAAGTGAATTCACAAGTGTATTCGTAATAACGTCATCTTCCAAGGCCGTTCTCAGGCACAAGGTGATACACTGCTGTCTGCACGAGTGACAAATGGGAATTCCTTTGTCCCGTGATGTGATGTCGATAACACAATTGACATATAACTGCGGGAATCGGGGGTGGGGAGTGAAGGGGAGGAGGAAAGGGGGCGGGGAAATCAATCCCTTGAAGAAAAAAAAAACACCGCTGTACATTTTACGCAAACACGATATACGGACTCCCCATCAATCCAACAGCCGATCGTTTGCACAATTCATTAGACGGATACGAGCTCGCGAGGTGAAGGTTACGCGCGAAGAAAACTTATACCGGCCGGCGCCCTGTAATTTGTGATGATTGCGACGCTTTAAGCGGAACAATTATCGTTCAGCGACATCGACGCGGCACAGACACGCACACACACACACGCACACGTGTGTGTGTGCGTGCACGAGAGGCAGCGTCTCAGGCGCAGACGTGACAAGCGCCGTCAGCGTCATCCGAAGATGCGGCTCCGCAAACAAAAGCGGGCAGAAGAGACGCGGACACTCAAACACATCCTCGGGCCTATGCTGGCGGCAAGGGGCACGCCAAAGACATTTCGGTCGCGGTGGGTGTTAACCAGAGGTGTGGACTCGAGTCATGTGACTTGGACTCGAGTCAGACTCGAGTCATGAATTTGACGACTTCAGACTCGACTTGGACTTGCATAACAATGACTTTGTCCCACCTCTGAGGTGTGGACTCGAGTCATGTGACTTGGACTCGAGTCAGACTCGAGTCATGAATTTGATGACTTCAGACTCGACTTGGACTTGCATAACAATGACTTTGTCCCACCTCTGAGGTGTGGACTCGAGTCATGTGACTTGGACTCGAGTCAGACTCGAGTCATGAATTTGATGACTTCAGACTCGACTTGGACTTGCATAACAATGACTTTGTCCCACCTCTGAGGTGTGGACTCGAGTCATGTGACTTGGACTCGAGTCAGACTCGAGTCATGAATTTGATGACTTCAGACTCGACTTGGACTTGCATAACAATGACTTTGTCCCACCTCTGGTGTTAACCCACGCGTTACCCCACCGCACAACGCCAAACTCCTGCTTCGAGTGGACGGAGGCGGTGGGGAGGATTTAAAAGAAAATAAAACTTGCACCATCGATTTCGACCGCAGCGCCGGGAGATGGAGTCTAAACTATACGAAACTATTTTGTGTTTTTATTCTACCAGGTAAGGCCCACTGAGCCGTATACTTATTTCTTTCAGAAGCGACCTGGCCCACAAATGATCGCTTAACGAAGTGGCTCATCGCGTGGAAATGTTAGAGCAGCCACCCCACTCTGAGCGCGTGTCGTTTCTAAATGTGGAGGGGAAAAGCGGAGGACCTGGAAAAAAAAGCCCACGGGGAGAACATTAAAACTCCAAATATACAGCAGGCGTCAAGGTCGGGATCGAACCCACGACCTCCTGTATACAAGGAGAGGTTACTCTTTGGTTCTTTCAGTAAAGTCACGTATAGGTATAAAAGAAAATAAATCACGACGTTTCGATCGCAACACAAGCGGTCGTCCTCAGGCAGTAACAATATAATCCAGCAGTGGAACTGCTGAACTCACCACCCAGTCGCACCGTCGCCTCTTGGACTGCAAGTCCAGTGTCCGAGCCAATACATCGCCACCGGGGCGGCTTTGTGGTTTTGGAAAATTGACAGGGCTAGAAATAACATTTAAAATCATGACAACGCCAGTTTAACACGTAGGCTTTCGCGACCAATGTTATTCATAATCAACGTTTTTGGGTTTAGATCGCGTTTATTTATAAATGTGTCGTAACCCTCCACCACCCGACACGGCAAATCAGTAAAAATGTGTAAAAATGTGTTGAAGCCACAACATTTACAATTTGAGTACCAGCGAAACGTCGTACTCAAATTGTAAATGTTGTGGCTTCAACACACCGGTGGGCTAAAGCAGTGAACTATTTGTCTTTGTCAACGTGACACATTTTTACTGATTGGCCGTGTCGGGTGGTGGAGGGTTACGACACATTTATAAATAAACGCGATCTAAACCCAAAAACGTTGATTATGAATCATGACAACGATAGGAAAAATTGCTCATAGGCTGCTGGGACCATGCTTCTCTCTAATGGGGTCAGGGTTAAGTTGAGCGAGGGAGGAGATCAGTGGCATTGATTGTGCGCGTTTAAACCAAGCAATGGGCCCCTTAACGGACCGGCGAATACGAGAATGATACACAGGCCAGACTCGTGCCAGCGAGCGGCTCTAACCGGATGGGCAGGCGGAGCGGGATGGAGCGAGGGTGGGAGGGGGGGTTGGGGTTTCTTAACAGAGGTCAGTCAAGCCCGGCGCAAGGAGGCAATCAGAATTCCACATCCAACGCCACGCTATTCTTTTTCATCGGTCGCCTCCATCACTCCACCCCCCTCCTCCCCCACCACCACCACCACCGCCGCCGCCCTCCTCCTCCTCCACCATCCCCTCCTACTGCCGTGCTGCCAATGCCAGCCACCGCATCAAGAGATGTTTTTTTCACTGCCCGCTGCATTTGCGCCATGCTGTGTCCCGGTCGCTCGTCTAACGGTGGGTCCTGCAACCAGGGCTGGCACGAGGCGGCTGCTGAAGTGCCCCCCCCCCTTACCACCGCGGTGGTGAGATGTTAACTACCTCGCCTGGTATACAGCAGGATTTGGGTTCGATCTCGACCCTGACGCCTGGCTGTATATTTGGAGTTTGCGTGCCTCTCTCTCCGTGGTCGTGTGGATTTTTCACTGGGTCCTCCGTTTTTTCCCTCCACATTTAGAATCAGCGTCACGCGTTTCGAATATTTGTCTGCTATGCATTTCCACGTGATAAGCCGCTTCTCATTGGGGCTATCATCATTTGTGAAAGCCAGGTCGCTTCTGAAAGACTGCTATATCGCTCAGTGGGGCTTTACCTGGTGTAATACAAAAAGAAAAACACAGTTTCGTTTAAAGCTGTTACGTCCCTTTGGCCCTCCACCCAGGTTCACTCTCTTCCGCACTGCTAGCGTTGGTGTGTAACGGTGTTTTCCCCGCAATATTTTGCTGTCTTTTCCTGGATTTTCTGTTTGCACTCAGTCACATATTCACTTTAAGATGTTTTTTTGTTCATGTTTTTTGTTTGTTGCGGTTGCACCCGATTCAAGAGCCGAATGGCTCACAGGGCTCTATACCTAATAAATGAACTTGAACTTGAACGGCTCCGGCACGTGACGTGCGACCAGCCACGCGGCGTGCCGCAGAGCGCCACTGCGGATAACCCACGGGGCAGTCGCCACCCCCTCCGTGCACCACGATGTCCGGTGCTAACTGCTCCGCTTCCTCGAGAAGCCCCGGACACGCGCAGGCCGAACGTCGGACATCGTAACCAACGGCACGCAGGCACAACCATCACCCCCACCCCCCACCGCCTCCGGAAAACGATTCGGCGATGTTTACGCGAAGAAGAGGGCTCCACTGGAGACATGCTGGCATGGCAGGCTACGCTTTCACAGAAACGGCACATCCCTCTGTTGTATTGTTGTTGTTGCTGCCACTGCTGCTGCTGTAATTAAGAATATTTCATGAAATCCCTGCAGCTTTGACAACGCGCTCGTGATAAGTGCCGCACACTCGCTCTGCAGCTGCTCCATTAGCCCCGCTGTGAACGACTTTCGCGTAAAATTCCGCGTGGCGTTTTTTGTTTTCAATTATTATTATTCTGATTACAGCGGTAGAAATCGCTGCATTTAGGAGATGCTGCGAACAAAAACAACCCAAATGTAGGTATTGAAGGACGTCACGTAAATCATCTGGAGCACTTTCGGTTGTATTTTGACGCTGCTTAAGCTTCCTATGTTATAATGTCCTCTCCGCCCCCACCCCCTTCCACTATTTAAATATCTCCACTCGCCCACGTTTCACTCCAGGTACCGCGTGCAAAGGCGTATTCGGTGTCTCAGTTCATTGTTACAATTTTTCCAAACAAGGAACTATTTATCACGCCAGCAAACTAATGCAAATTCTGGACTACGATTCAATTCAAGAGTCAAATAAATAAATCCGACGCGGAGCGCAGAGCTTTTCCTGTCCACCAATGGAATTACAAAGGGTCTCTAAGTTAAGTTTAAGTTAATGGCCATTCAATTGTTACCATTGTTAAGATTATATTATCCAGATTAGCGGCAGAGCAATAACAAACAGATCGATCGTTCGAATCGATCCCATTATCCATCCAGGGTCGATAAAAGCAAAATAACTTTGTGGTGTGAACAGCGATTTCCATGGAAGACCAACCACGTGCATGGCAATGTGGAATGTCCTCTACTAGTTCAGAGTCATCATTGAACATGAGCACAACTCCCGAACTCAAGTGAGTGGACCTGTGGGCGAGTGTGGGTGAGTGGGACTTGTGTGTGGGTCAGTGGCCCTGTGTTTGCCTGAGTTGGTGAGTGAGTGGGTGAGTGGCCCTGTGTGTGGGTCAGTGGGCCTGTGTGTGGGTCAGTGGCCCTGTGTTTGCCTGAGTTGGTGAGTGAGTGGGTGAGTGGGCCTGTGAGTGAGTGTGCGTGTATGGATCTATGAGTGGGTGAGTGGGCCTGTGTGTGGGTCAATGTGCCTGTGAGCGAGTGCCTTTTGGCTGCTTTAGATTTGCACATAAGCCACTTCGTTGGACTATCATTAGTGACCAGGTCGCTTCTGGAAACTATCTATTTAGCCCAATGGGCTTTGCCAGGTGAAAACAAAATTACGTCCCGTTGACCCCCCAGCCAACTTCACTCTTCTTACTGGTGTAGCACTGGTACGAGAGCAGGTGAGTGGGCCTGGGAATGAATCAATGGGTGAGTGGGCCTGTGAGCGAGTGTGCCGGTCAGTGGGCCTGTGAGCGAGTGAGCGAGCGGGTGAGTGGGCCTGTGAGCGAGTGAGCGAGTGGGCCTATGAGTGAGTGAGCGAGCGGGCCTGTGAGCAAGTGAGCGAGTGGGCCTATGAGTGAGTGAGCGAGCGGGTGAGTGGGCCTGTTAGCGAGCGGGTGATTGGGCCTGCGAGCGAGCGAGTGGGTGAGTGGGCCTGTGAGCGAGTGAGCGAGCGGGTGAGTGGGCATGTGAGTGAGTGGGCCTGTGAGCGAGCGAGCATACCGCGTGCGCGGCCTGCACGGTGCGGGCGAGCGTCACGCCCTTCCACACGTACACATCGCCGTTGAGGGCGCCCGAGTAGGTGAGGTCGTCGCGGGCGCACGCCAGGCACAGGATGGTCTGCAGGTCGCCCGCCTTGCCAAACACCCCGCGCTTGGGCGTCAGGGCGTTCCCGCACATCGTCCAGAACTTGGGCGGGAGGAGAAAAGGTCAAAGGGGTCACCCAGTCAATATTTATTTACGAGCGAACACTTTGCATCCATCAAGGCGCCTCGGAGCAGTTTACGTGCATTCGCATTAGCCCAAATGCCCGACACTTGGGTTTAATGGGCGCCGCGGTGGCGAGATGTTAACTACTTCGCCTGGTATGCAGGAAGTCGTAGGTTTGATCCCAACCTTGACGCCTGTATTTTTGGAGTTTGCGTGTTCTCCCTGTGGTCGCGTGGACTTTTCTCCGGGTGCTCCGGTTTTTCCCTCCGCATTTAGAAACATGCGTTTAATTGTAGTTGGCTGCGATTCCACGTGATAAGCCACTTCTCGCTGGGCTATCATATGTCACAGCCAGATCGCGTCTGAAAGAGAGCTATATATCTCCGTGGGGCCTTATGTGGTGAAATTAAATTTGTTTTAATAGTAATAATAATACCATATGAGCTATAGTGGTCTCTCCAGATGCATTCCCAGCCTTCTGGGAGTGCGAAATTTCAGTCGCATCGATTCAAGGCAACCGAACTCTGAACCGGTGTTCGACAAACAGTGTCCCATCGGCAGAGTCAGGCTCGCTCTAAATCGACGCCGCTGCTGCTGATGATGAGCCGTCGATCTTGCAGCGGCGGGCAAGTGACCCTCTCTCTTGTGCGACACGGCGGAGGGGCGGCGCGGTTCGACGCAAAAAATGATTATTCACATTCTCCACGACGACGCTAACGACGATTTAAAGCTTTCGTGACTGCAGGGATTCATCTTCTTGGTTCTTTCGGTAAAGTCACGTAGAATGGAAATAATAAAATGATAAAAATAAATTATAATAAAATTATTCTCACGACGTTTCGGCCACAACGCAAGCAGCCGTCCTCAGGTGGAGAGCAGGTCTGTCGAGTAGACAGAGTCTGAATGACACACTCCAGGCTTGGAGCGACTATTTTATTATTTCCATTCTACGTGACTTTACCGAAAGAACCAAGAAGAAGAAAAAAGCTAACGACGGTGTTGAGCGCTGGAGGGCGATGTGACGTGGCCCAGTGCCGGATTAAGCTCGTGCCGGGGCCTGTAGCATATGTTACAAAGGGGCCCTAAAAATATATTGAAACACAAATGTTTTAATTGCATAGTAACGTGATTGTATTTTTTCATTTGCTATACAGCCAGATAATACGACAAATCTCTAACCCTAAACACCCAGTCGTGCGTAAAAGTTGAAGGCAGTATAGTACTATAGTAATAGAGCAAGTGCAGAATCACTGAACCGGAATTGATAACTTTAAAGCATTTAGCGCGTGGCCCTTGAAAGTGCGGGGCCCGTAGCTACACATGCAGCTACTTTTGCAACGAGGATAATCCGGCACTGACGTGACCGTACGCGTAGGACCGTGGCGACACCACACTTGCCGAAGCGGTCGCTGACGAGCCGACTCACCGACGTGCAATTTGCACATCGGAACGCAGCCATCTGCCGAGGATCGGAGACATTTCTTAACGAGATGACAAACAAACTCCAATTAAAGTTTTAGTTTCGCCTTCATTAGCCGTGTGCGAAATATATATATATATGTTGAATGCCAATGACGTTCATTCTTGTAATTACGTGTTCTGTCGATTAACACAATTCGCTCCTACATACTATTCGTAGAGATGTGAATTTGTGTGTGGGGGGAGGGGGGGTGGTGGTGGTGCGCTTGTCGGCACCACGCGCTCCGATACACGGCAACAGCTGAACGAACGCGAGCAGTGGGCGACGCCCGTTGTGTTTCACGACCGGCTCTGACGGCGGTGCCCTCGTGTGGCCCTGCCCGCCGTGCTTGAGTGATGACGCTTGAGTGATGACACGAGCTGGCAAATCGTTGCTCAGTGAGTGGCCCATGGCTAAGGGGTGCGCCGCGGTGGCCCTGATTTTAACTACCTCGCCTGGTATACAGGAGGTCGTGGGTTCGATCACATCTCTGACGCCTGCTGTATATGTGTCTCTCCCCATGGCCGCGTGGAATTTTCTCCGGATCCTCCGATTTTTCCCTCTACATTTAGAATTCAACGCGCGTTTCGAGTATTTGGCGGCTGCTGTACATTTCCACGCGATAAGCAAACTTCGTCGAGCCATCATTTGTGGCCAGGTCGCTTCTGAAAAGGAGCAACACGTAGCTCAGTGGACCTTACCTGGTAAAATATTTTAACAAAAAATAGTTTAGTTTAGTTTTAGCGAAGCCAGCAGCCAACCGCATTCAACAGCATGGCGACACCAAACGGGCAGCCACGTTTCATCGGCAGCTCGCGCCAGACTCGCCCGTTTTAAGGGTTAACGGCAAAAGCCGCCGCGATTCTGTGCCGGGAATTATGGCGGTGGCGGCGGTGGCGGCGGTGGTGGTGGCGGTGGAGAAGGTAGCAAAGGAAAAAAAAAATTAAGGTAAGTGCAGCCGTGCTATAAAAAGCCGCGCGGATGAGCAGGATGGCTGGCCGCTCACTGATAAGTGAACATGAATGGGCCGGGGATAGCAGCAGGGGCGAGAGGTCCCCTTATGATCAGCGCAATTAGGCGGGAGAATGGTTGGGACACGGAGACTTTCCACTCGGCCGCCCAATTCCGTGCAGCAGGTGCAAGGGGCGCGCCAATTGACCGTTCGCCGACATTTGCTGTAATTGAAAATGTCGTCAGCAGCAGACGCCGTGCCGTGATATATCCACTGCTGGGCAGTACCGGATTGTCCTCGGAGCAAAGTAGCTGCACATGCTACTGGCCCCGCACTTTCAAGGGCCCCTCGCTAAATGCTTTCAAGCTGTCAATTCCGGTTCAGTGATTCTGCACTTGCTCTATTACGATAGTTCTATACTGCCTTCAACTTTTATGAACGACTGGGTGTTTGAGGTTAGCAATATGTCGCATTATCTGGCTGTATAGCAAATGAAAAAATACAATGACTTTACTATGCAAGTTACAAATTAGTGTTTTAATTTTCGATTTAAAGCTTTCGTGACTGCAGGGATTCATCTTCTTGGTTCTTTCGGTAAAGTCACGTAGAAGGGAAGTAATAAAATAATAAAAAATAGTGTTTTAATATTTACGTGTTTTTAAAAATGTAGGGCCCCTTGATAACATATGCTACAGGCCCCGCACTAGCTTAATCCGGCACTGCTGCTGGATAAAGGCATTCACCCCCCCCCCCTCCCCAGGTCATCATCATCTCTCACAGTCTTGTAGAGCAACAACACCGCGAAGCTCCTGCACACGAGCTGATTTTATCGCTCCATGTCCATGGCGGTGCTGGTGCGTCCCGATTCTTGGATGCCCACTCCGTTCTTTTTATTATTGATCATCTGCCATCATCTCCCTTCGTGACATGTGCTACCCAGGCACGATTACAATTGACAAAAAAATAGACGGTAGACATTTTAGACACAGCTGCATGGGGCTTTGAACATTGGAACCAAACCAACCGTACCATGAATCAGCCTTCATTGAAAAATATTTTAAGCTTTTTCATTAATTTTTTTATTTTACCAGGTAAAGCGCACTGACTTTTAAATCACTTTTTCAGAGGCGACCTGGTGATGAATGATAGCTCAATTAAGTAAGATTATCACGTGGAAATTTATAGCACGTTAATTCTCAATGTGGAGAGGAAAACTTGAAGGACCCGGTGAAAAATCCACACGGCCACGGGGAGAGAGACACCACAAACTCGAAATAATATACAGCGCGCGTCAGGTCGAGATCGAACTCATGACCTCCTGTATAGCCAGGCGAGGTAGTTAACATCTCGCCAGCGCGGTGCCCCCAAGTGGGTAGAGAGCGTGGATGGATGTATTCCTCATGCCGTTACCTTGATGTGCTTGACCCCACAGCTTGCCAGGCGATGCGGCTGGTACGCGTCCCAGGATATGTCAAAAATCTGCACGAAAAATTCCACAAGTTTCACATGTTCGCACGCACTCAAACCATCTTGCCGTACATATGTATTTTTAACAAAACGCAAGCCTATTATTTTTGACAAGATACGCGAAGGAAGCAACGAGCGCGATGGTTTGTACCAGCTCCCCCCCCCCACTGCCCCCCCCCCAGCTCCCCCCACCGCCCTCCCCCCCCAGCTCCCCCTACCGCCCTCCCCCAGCTACCCCCACGCCCCCCTCCCAGCTCCCCCCACCGCCCCCCCCCAGCTCCCCCCACCGCCCTCACCAAGCCCCCCCCCACCGACCTCCCCCAGCGTCTGAGATCGAACCGCTCAGATCGCTGTCGCTTTCATCGCACCCCCAATAATTAGCTTAAAAACCGTGTTCACGCAATCAGCCGCTGCTACATTTCGGAGAAAGGGAAGTTTCATTATCTTCCTGCACAATCCGCGACACGTCGTGATCCGAACAGACGCCGATGGCACCGCGGATTTCACTTTTTTCCCATCACTTTCGTTGACGCGTCCGTCGTCGAATCTCTTTTTATTCTCACTCTTTCGCGAAAACGTAATTTAAATCATGATCAGATTTGCGCCGGAAAATACCAAATCTAATCCGACTTCCAAGCGAGTTTCCGCAGAGAGACCTTGACAGGTGACGCCATCGTTTAAGGAGGTCTTCTTAAAGCGGTGAGGGCCAAACGCCTCGGCGGAATTGCACCTTTGGCGCTTGTACCTAAATTAAAACGTGACCGTCGCTCTTCAACAGGCTGCAATATGTTTGTAAGCGCGTGTGTGTGTGTGTGTTTATAATCTTGTTGTTGTGTTATTTTGTAGAGGTTAGAGGTTGTTGCTGTTGGGAGCGGTAGTGTAGAGGTGAGCACGCTCCACTACGAACCTGGCGACCCGAGTTGGATTCCCGCTCACGGCCAACACCAGTGACGATTATCTGAACCAGTCCTGGGCCTCCCCTAGGTCGACTCAGCCTAAAATGAGTACCTAGTGTGGTTGCGTAAAAACATCGCCACTATGGTCGTGGTCCTGGCTAACTACCCCCTGGTGTGCCGTTCCGGCCTTCATAAGTGCTCGCTAACAGCACTTGCCCCAACAGACTGTTAAGGCTATACGGGGGAACTTTGTCTATACACAATCGTACCGAGTGACTGTATGAGTAAGGTGATTGGTTTGCTTCACTGCCCTTTGTCAATCCGCTGCTCGCCTTGGGTCCTCTCCCCAGCACTCTTGTCAAGTTGTGGTCGTTGTTCTACCCCGACGTCACCGACGGGAGGTGTCCAGGAACGATGGGTAGACGATCCTTCGCCACTGATGTTAGCCGTGGCCAGGAATCGAACTCGGGCCGCAGAGTTCACGGCATCGCTCCCCCCTTACCATGTTGTGAAATGTTCTAGAATGTCCAGATAACTAAAATGTGTTTTTCTTCTTGGTTCTTTCGGTAAAGTCACGTAGAATGTAAATAATAAAATAATAAAAATAAAACATTATAAAGTAATATAATATAATAAAATAATAAAATTAAATAAAATTTATTTTATTATTTCCATTCTACGTTGACTTTACCGAAAGAACCAAGAAGATGAATCCCTGCAGTCACGAAAGCTTTAAATCGAAACTAAAATGTGGTGTATACATATCACGTTCTAGATAGTTCTAGAACGGCGAGAGAACTCAAATTCTATGTATACATATCGAATTCGAATAATTTGCTACAAAGATCTGAAAAGCATTTTCTTTAGCCCACCAGTAATTTTTTTTTGGTGGGGAGGGGGGGGGGGGCAATAATTCTACACCCCCCAAAATCAGTGGTTCGGCCGAGGGCTATGAAAATTTTGTTTTTGAGAGTTGCACAGGCACAGCTTCACCGATGTTGAGAGGGTTGTAGGGGGGGGAGGCAGTGGAGGAGGGTGATATTTTGTAAACATTAAACTATTTCGACATAGGCAAATAAGGGCTTATATACTCTTAGTTTTTTCGGTAAAGTCACGTAGGTAAAAAAATTTAAATTAAAATTAATAAATAATAAAATAATGAAAATCACGACGTTTTGGAGGCAACACAAGTCTCCGTCATCAGGTGGGACCGTCACAGCCAGATTTGCTGTATCAAGTGAGTCAGGGATTCCAGATGCAAGTTCTTAAATACAAGTTAAGGGGGAGGGGGGCTTATCAGAATGTGGTAGCCAATGAATGGAACGTATTTGGAGGGGGGGGGGGGGGCTAAAAGAGAGCATGAGGTGTACGTAGACGTCGAGACTTGTGTTGCCTCCGAAACGTCGTGATTTTTATTATTTTATTTTTATAAATTTAAATTTAAATTTTTTACCTACGTGACTTTACCGAAAAAACTAAGAGTATGAATCCTTGCAGTCACGAAAGCTTCAAATCTAAAAAATAATAATAATAAGGGCTTGTATCTGGAGGTTTGGAGGGGTGCTCGATCACGCACTCTATGATAGCCGGCAGCCGGACTGCGACACACGCCGTTCCGCATGGCCTCGACGCTTCCGAATGGGAAGAGAAACCGACGATGGACACACGGACGTCATCGGAATGGGAAAGGGTTAACTGGGTGAACGGGTAAGTGCCGTCGAATTACAATTGTCGAATTTGCACGCCGAGGAATCTATTTTTCATAGAAACTCGAGTGTTATGAAATCCGCACAGCCGTTTGCTTTTAATCTGCTCTTCGTTTCAGTCGCTTTTTTGTTGTTGAGAATTTTAATTTGCACGTTCAATCTAATTTCCCTTTGATTCAATCTCCGTTAAAATTTTAATTTAATCTTTATTCTTCCGTTTTGCTGTTACGTTTGATCTGGTACTTTATTTCCCCCGCATTTTTTTACATATTTAATTTGCGATACTTTTTAATGCTTTAATAATTGGTGTAACTCGAGCAATTATTATGCGTTCGCTTGTTTTGACCCAGGTCTTCATCGGATGCAAAGGGCTTTTACAGACTCAGTGGGCACCTGCCTCATATCAACAGAATATATTGTTCTCATTGTTGACACCATGGTGGCGAGTTTGGAATGTTACATCCCTCGCCTGGTACACAGGAGGTCATAGGTCTCGATCCCAAACCCTGACGATGCCTGTTGCACATTTGGAGTCCGCGTGTTCTCTCTCTCCCCGCGGTGGCCGAGTGGATTTTTCTCCGGTTTCCTCCGGCTTTGCCCTCCTCTACCTTTAGACGCATCACGTGTCTCGATTATTTGGCTGCTGCTCTAAATCCTCCCCGTGCGGTGACGATAATCAGCCACTTTGATGAGCTGGCACGTGTGGCTAATTCGCCTCTGAAAAATTGCTCATAGCTCAGTGGGATCTACCTAGTGAAAATAACAGTTCAGTGTATTATTATTATTTTTTTACAGCGGTAATGATTCACACGGGGGAAGGTCCTGTCAGGTTTTCACGGTAGTGGTTGATGCTTGATGCTTGCTTATGTATAGTTCTAATTGACTAATTATAATTGGCAATATTAGAATGTGCGTGTGCGCGTAAACGTGCCGGGGAGTAGGTACGTGCGCACACACACGTGCGAGTATGGAGGTTTTCAAAACGGTGAGGGCTATTCAGCCAAATCCTTCCCTACCGCACACAAATCAACATCAGCTTCATTTGTACGCACGCACGCATGCAAGAATTCACCCAGCAAGATATCCGTGGCAACACAAATTCCAAAGCAATTACGACGTAGCAATTCAGCCCAATCTTGCCCCCCCCCCTCTTCTCTACAGCATTGTAAGAAAAGAAAATTAGAATTAATAATATTATTGTGATAAACGGTTTTTCCCCTTTTTTTTTACAACAAAACAGATGTGAAGATGTTAAAACACCAAAACTGAAGCCTTTTACAAGGAATCATGTCTGCAATTAATGCTTGCGGTCAGAATGCAAACAAAAAACGTACTCTGATATATGCATTGTCCTTGAAACTGATTGGTCCACACCAGAGACAGCTTTCTTTTTGAGCCTCGTCTCAAAAGAAAGCTGTTAGACCACAAGACGCCAACATCCTTTTGGCGTCCTCTGGTCTAACACCGTTTGAGACGAGTGAGAGCGGGTGTTGCCGCAGCGCTCTGAGCTAAGGCTAAGGCTCGGGTTCGATTCCAGCTCACGGCCACCTGTCCTGGTATCCGGTTAGCGCGCTGCGCTACGAACCAGAGGTCGCAAACGGGTTTTGATTCCTTACCCGTACCCGGCCTCAGCAGGGTCGAAAACGGGTACCCGTATCCGTACCCGTACCGTACCCGGCCGGGTACGGGTAGGATACGGGTACCTGATTGCGACCTCTGGGATGAACTTGAATTGTGAGAATAGACAAGATGTTGGGAAATGAGTGACAACAGCTACTCACCAGTGACTCACGATCTACCCGTACCCGGCCGCATCAGGGTCGCAAACGGCTACCCGTACCCGTGCCCGGCCGGGTACCGGTAGCCAGGTATCGGGTAGGGTACGGGTATCGCGTACCCGGTTGCCACCTCTGCTACGAACCCAAGCAACGCCCGCGTTCGATTCCCTGACCCGTCCCTGTGTCCGCCGATCTGCGGTCGTGTTGCGCGTGAGTTGTGGGGAGAGTTTTGCCGGCACGCGGCTCACGCACCCTCTCCGTGTGCCCGGGCGCGGCGGCGATCGGCTTGCCGCGCTTCCAGTCCCACACGCAGATGGAGTTCTTGGCATCGAGGCCGACGGACACGAGCAGCTGATGAGAGACGGGGGGTGGGGGGGTCGTTAGGGAGGCCTCTGGCATTCTCGGTCGTTGTCGCTCGCTCGTCGCCAGATTATGTTTTATTACGCCGCACGAAGACAAGGTGTCGGAATCGGAATTCTTGTTCATGCTGGAGGAATCCGATGAGCTGTGAAGCTCTTTTGTTTCCATAGATGCGGCCTGCGGTGGAGCCAACGACAACGAGAACTACGGAACCGTTTCTCTCTAGAAACGTTCACCAAGAGGCTGTTTGTTTACGAATAGCGCAATCGATTTATCTAAAAAAAATTGTTCTAAACTGAGAAAGCAAGAATCCCACAATCCGCAATAGGTTTCTTGAGCCGTCCATTTGGGAGGGTGGGTGAGATGGTCTGGCCTGTATATATGTTGGACTTCTTTCCCAGCGTACGTAGCCCACCGTGCTAATCCGGTAGGCCATGTGGCCTTCCTCAGCCAGCCGTGTTGTTCTGGTGGCAACCACCGTCACCGGATGAAGTTTAACGTAAAAAAAACCAGAACAGGCTCACGGAAATACCCGCGCAATGTTTTTTTTTTTTGCCAAAGAACAAAATAATCACTGCGCTAACCCTTCGAAATCTTTTTTTTTTATCAACACGCCTACGACTCAACCGGAGTAGATTCATTAATTCACACAACAATACAATAATTGGCTCGCGCAAATCATTATTGCCGTGAAACATTCCAATTATAATGGTTTGTTTAAACGCAGCAGCCGCAGCGGCAGCATCTGCAGGTGCATGGTGGTGGCGCGGCCGTAGCGCGTTTGCCAGCTGTTGCAGAAGTTCGCGGTTCGAAGCCAGAGGCCGCCCTGGTTAATACTTGCGGTGTGCGTCGATTTAAAACAAAAATACTACGTGCGGTCTGCTTTACGGCGGCCGTTAAAGAACCCGTGACATTATTCGAAAAATTACTATAACTATTTTTTATTTTACCAGGTAAGGCCCACTGAGCGATATAGCTCTTTTTCAGAAGCGACCTGACCACAAATGATAGCTCAACGAAGTGGCTTATCACGTGGACATTAATAGCAGCCAAATACTATAAACGCATGTTTCTGAATATGGAGGGAAAAACCGGAGGACCTGGAGAAAATCATCATGACCACGGGAGGCACAAACTGCAAGTATACTGCAGGCATCAGGGTCGGGATCGAATCCGCTGCCTCTTACATACCAGGCAAGGTAGTTAACTCCTCGCCACCTCGCAGGCCTACGCGTGCTGGTGACACGGTCCAAATTACATTTTTTTTCTCTGAAATTGCAAAAGGAAAAATTACTCGCGAATGACCAAATTGGGCAAAGCCCCACGTGGCAACGCGGCCACGTGCGGAAGGAACATCGCTAACAACCACCACGCGTGCCAACGATTTTACATTTAACCGACGATGCTGCTACTGCTACCGCATTGGCAGTGCCGGTGCCAATACCAGCACACACGGCACGACCGCCTTCGCTGTGCAGCGTTCGCGACGTCACACACCTATCGACTGCGTCACCAACGATCCCGCTCTGGGAACTATGTTTGTGCGCGGATGGATACCTGTCCCGTGACGTCGAAGGCGAGGCACGCCACTCCGTGCGTGTGCACGTCCTTGAGGATGGAGACGGACTGCACGTTGTACGAGTCCCACACGCAGATGTACGGGTCTCGTCCCACCTGGCCCGTTGCGACGAGGCTGCGGTCTGGGTGCAGGGCCAGGCTAGCAGTGGAGGGGGAGGGGAGGGGGGTGGTGAGCACACAGGAGAACGCGTGGACGGACGCACACACGTGTGGCACACAAAGACAAAGATCCCCCGTATAGCCTTGAAGGACTGTTGGGGCAAGTGCTGTTAGCGTGCACCTATGAAGGCCGGCACAGCACACGAGAGGGTGGGTGGCCAACACCACACCCGGCCGCCTTTGTCTCACCAGTGGCGATGTTTACACACTGCACCAGATACTAAGACTGAGTCGACCTAGGGGATGCCTAGGACCGGTTCAGATAATCGTCACTGGTGTTGGCCGTGAGTAGGAATCGAACTCGGGGCGCCAGGTTCGTAACGCATTGCGCTGAACGCTACACCACCGCTGTGTTTGCAAACAAACGTGTGCACACACACACTTGCACACGTACACGGGAACACGCACACAAGCAACAAAGAAAGACCCCCCCCCTCCTCTCTCCCACCGCACCCGTGCACACACGTCATCGGAACGGAATCGAAAGAAAACCTCAAATAAAATATCTTCCGACCTGAAGACGTACTGAGGCTCCCATAAGGCCACGCGGGAGGGCGAGTGGCACAGGTGGGCACCAGCTATCATAGAGCGCGGTCGTGTCGCTACAGTTCTCTGCGGTGAGTACAGTGTCTTTAAAAACAGCGGCCTCTCCAGCGGTGAACATGACCTCACCCTGCAACTTGCAGTCGTCTCGGAACGAGAAAGGGTGAACAGACTTGTGGTGCTAATGGTGCTGTTAGCGAGCGCCTATTAAGGCTTGCACAGGCCCACTAGGGGATGGGTGGCCAGCACCACGCCCGGCCATGTGGTGTTAATCCAGGACCAGGGATGTTTACACACCGTACCAGTTACTCATTTAAGGCTCAGTCAACCTCGAGGAGGACCAGGATCGATTAAAAAAATGTTCGTTATTGTTTGTGAACGTGAATCGAACTCGGATCGGAAGGTTCGTAGCGCAGTACGCTGACAGCCGCGCCATCGCTCCCCACTCTGTCACACCACAGATATGCGCGCACACACACACAGTCAAAACACAGACACACACAAAACACACACAGCCAACACGCAAGTAAACACAAGACATGAAAAATGATCTCACATGTCAAATTGACATCCTGCATCACAGCCAATTGGAGAAGATTTTTTATTTTATTTTTTAAAAGCATGCTCAACTAAAAATAAAGCAAAACACTGCCGGCACAGATCATTTGTCGCGCGCGCTCAGTCGTGTTCTGTTGTTGTTGCGATGCCCTGCTGGGACCGCGGCTCCCTCGTGCAAGGTGCAACCGCGAATGTTGAGCGCTCAACACGACGCAGCTTAGCACATCGGACACGCACGTACACGTATCGGAGCGGAAATCCACACGTTGTGCAAAGGCAATTACGAAGCCCCTTGCAATAGGCAGCGGTGGTAACAAGGCCCAACCCGGCAACGCCTCGCTCGCTCCACCGCTGGTGGGATGAGCCCTTCGCGAGAGAAGCATCAGAAGATGACTATGGTTGGTTGACTCTCGTGGTGCAAAGGCGTCCTGAGATGAGGGTGGGCTGGGAGAAACCCACGTTTTACCCCACCACACGTCTTGCAAGGAGCGGGTTACCCACATTTCACCCCACCACACGCACACACACGATGCCGCCATCGATCGCGTGACCCCATTAAAAAGAGAGAATTGTGAATATATGCCAGGGTTCGCGTGCGTGTGTGCGCACACATGTTCTCCGATGGGTGCTCGCTTGAATGCACTCGTGTGTGTGTGTGTGTGCATGTGTGCGTGCGTACACGGCCCCATTCAAAAGTAATACTGTTAGACGAGCGACCGATCGTGTGTGGCGGGGTATAATGTGGGTACTCCTCTATTTTTGTGTAGAAACAGAACAAGACAACGATCACCCATAGAGTCTGAACTGACTGTTGGGGCAAGTGATGTTTGCGAGTAATACCTATGGAGGCCGGCACGGCACACGAGGCGTTGGGTGGTCCAGCACCAAGACCTACCGCCTTTGTCTCCCCAGTGGCGATGTTTACACACCGCACCAGGTACTCAGTTTGAGGCTGAGTCAGCCTAGGGGAGGCCCAGGACCGGTTCAAATAATCGTTGCTGGTGTTGGCCGTGAGGGGGAATCCAACTCGTGTCGCTGGTGTGCGTAGCGCATCGCGTTACCCAGCTGTGCCACCCCTCCCCATACACAGCACACACACACACACACCTCGCTGAAAGCCATGAAACTATTGCGGAAAAATACAATGAATCCTCGCGAAAATTGGCACGCAAAAAAAATGTTAAATCTAAATTCTTTCTAAGCGTCGCACGGCCGCCGTGCAATTTCCTCGAGAGATGTCGGAACCTTGAGCGCGAACACTCGCGGCCTCACGAGCCAAATCCTCCACCGCGCGCGTCTCCGAGAGCACGGGTAATTTCCCAATGTTCTGTTCATCCCGGACAAAAAAACGATGAATTAGATTTTCAGACAAGTTGCCCTCTGGCCCTTTCTCCGCGTGGAAGAAAAAAAAACGGGGAGGGGTGCGGGGAAGGTAAATAAATGGAAACGGAAAAAAAAATCTGAAAGAAAAATAAGATTTTTTTTTTGCCAATGTTTAATAGAAAATTGGAACAATAGACCGAGCGTGGTACTAGCTGCAGAGAAGCCGGCCCACTAAGTAAAGCTATTGTGCGAGCCGCCGTAATGTATCATGTACGTACGTTGAACGTCTTCCCCGCAATGTGCGTAGCCGCCAACGAGGCTCATCGAAGGTGCGGACTGTTCGTTAAACGGACACACAAAAGGAGTCAGAATATAATGTGGAAATATCCCCCCCCACACGTAAAAGGGGGTTGCGTTCCTGGGAAACGCCACTTCACTCGAGATTACTTAAAGCGAAATCTAATGTCCCACGGACGTAATGTTAAAATCGGGGGTTGCGTTCCTAGCTGACATTTCTGCACTAAATGTCATGAAGTGATAGAATAAAACCCAGCGTCTAAATCGAGATATCCCTAGAAAAACGAACGCAAAGGGTTTGCGTCGCAAATTCCTCCCGCGACGCGACGCCCACAGCACAATCAGGATGTCACCTCGATTCAAAACTCGAGACGTCAGTTGCTCGTCGAAAGTATGGAACAAGATGCACAATGCGGATTTGAAACAAGAATACAGTTGTTGTTTTTTAAATCACACAGCGCACATCCAAGAGAAGGACGCCTTTTGGTATCAACTTGTGATCTGGTGCACGTTGCTCAAAGAGACCCAGAGGCTGCCGATGGGCCATCCCTTGCGATTATTGATTAGCCAATTGTGCGAGTGTTTAATTATCGCTTTCCCAGAGTTCCCCAGCCGCGTCCCGCTGTGAATGTGGAAGCCGCTGGCTGTGAGAGGTTCGGGGTAGATGTGTCGGTGCCTGCATTGGCGTGGCGAGGTGCGGCCCGACTTCAGAATATTTCTTTAGTTATGCTGGAGAAATCCGATGAGCTATGAAGCTCTTTTTATTTCACTGTTGTCCAGTCGGGGGACGGGTCAGAAAGTTACAACAGACAATACGAAAAACCATAGCAGTGAAACGTATCGGAAAGGCAAGCAAGTCACTGAAAATGAATAGCGTCTCTAATTTCAAAATGCATAAGTATACCAATTCCTGCAGATATTTCCACTCTACAACGAAACTTGGACAAGGCAGCAAAACAACAACAACAACAACAACAACAGTCCCAAACCACACCAAGACAACACACACACTAAGCAGCCCCGCAATAAAACTGCACATCAATCTTGCACTATCGACGCACGCTTAAGGATCGAAAGTCACTCGTCAGAGTGATGAAGGCGATGGTTGGGCACGGTGGTTTACCAGGCCAGCGACGCGGGGCCCGTGGTGGACATCTCTGAGCGAGTGATGTTTTTTCAATCTTAATTTTAGAACTTTCGTGACTGCAGGAATTATTATTTGGTTCTTTCGGTTAAGTCACGTCTAAAGATAAAATAATAAATTAAATAATAGCATATTACGACGTTTCGATTGCAACACAAGCAATCATCATCAGGTATAATGAAATAGCGACATAAAATCTAACCAGAAAACTATAGACAGACATATTAGTAGACAGATATCACCAAGATACATAGAGAGAGCAACACAGGTAACAGAGAGGGGTGATCGTCTCTGTGGGGTGGCCTTAAATAGACAGAGGGCGGCGGAGGCAGAGAGAGGGAGGGGGTTAGAGAAAAAATTAGCATATCAATGAGTGGACAACAAACGTGATGCTGCAAGTGCGATGGCACGGCAAGCAAGCCTGAAAATCAGAAGGACACACTAAAATTAAATTTTCAGTTTTTCAGTTTCATTTATTAGGTGTATAACCCTGTGAGCCATGTAGCTCTTGACTCGGGTGCAACCGCAACAAAACAAAAACATGAACAAGAAACATCTTAAAGTTACTACATGCAACAATAACAAATCCTGGAAAAAATAGCAAAGTCTTCCAGAAAAAATACCACATTTCAACACTGTGTGCAAAAAATTCCAGTGGGATGAAATTCAAACAATAACAACCATAAGAAAATGTAGATTAAAGTTATCAGGACAACTCTGTACTTCAACAAACAAACATGGCCAGACCAAACCGTCCTCAAAATCACCAAAATAAAGCCATAGGAACTGTGATTCAAATCCAAAAACAAACGATATACAACACCCCTACCTGGTTGATTACGTTCTCCCAAAGATAGCTAAATTTGAGAGACAGACAAAACACAGACACGAAGACACATAGACAGACACATAAGCAGAAAGAGAGATGACACAGAGACACACAGAGAGAGAAAGGGCTCGTACCAATGTCAGAGCCGGTCCTGGACAATCACAGCCTTTGGCATATAATTCATAATCCATGTTTTTGGGTTTAGATCGCGTTATTTATAAATGTGTCGTAACCCTCCACCACCCGACACGGCCAATCAGTAAAAAAGTGTCACGTTGACAAAAGA